AGGTACCAATGAATCTCTTACACTCTTTTGGACCTGCATCTAGATTACTGTATAATGATCACTTGTTCAGAAAGTTCAAGTGGAATGCAGAATCAGCAAAAGACTGAGCAATCCAATTTTTTTTTTTCTCGAGCAATCCAATTTTGAATAAGAGCTAAACACTTTTAAAAGTATATATTTTATTGATTTTTTACAGAGAGGAAGGGAGAGGGATAGAAAGTCAGAAACATCGATGAGAGAGAAACATCGATCAGCTCCCTCATGCCCCCCCCCACCCCCCACCAGGGACGTGCCTGCAATCAAGATACATGCCCTTGACCGGAATTGAACCTGGGACCTTTCAGTCCGCAGGCCAACGCTCTATCCACTGAGCCAAACCGGTTTTGGCAAGTTAAACACTTTTGAAAGCTACGTGCAAAGGATACCAACCTTGGGTCACAATTATTCCCTTTCGGGGAATAGCCCGAGCCAGGCAGTGCTTGTTGAGTCAGAAAGGTCTTTTGCAGAAGTCTGTGAGATAGCTGACTGCCAGCAGTGTGGTCCTTGGGCAGCTTTAATTTACCCTTGTTGCCAGAGCCAAAGAAAACAGTGAAGGTGTTGTTTTGTCTCTGAAGTAGCTTGTCAACCCCAAGACAGTCAGGATCCTATTTTCACAGCTGCTGCAGGTCCTCCAGTCAGTTTTGGGTTTTGACGAGATGCTACTCTCTGGGGAAAAGCACTCTGATTCAGAATAAACACCTGTATGTCGTGTTCTTCCCTGGAACTGGCTTCCAAACAATAATCTGTTCAACGTTCCTTGTACTAATTTGTAAACATTTTGGTTGCCAAGGTTACACATGGATAAACAAGGACAAATGGATAAAGATATCCTTAGAGACAGCAAAGTTTGCTTCCTAGATGTATTTTTTGCTGCTGCGGACTGATCATCACGGCAGCCACTGTCTTTCACTGTGTAAATCTGCACGTGGAGGAAAGCATTGGCTCCTGGCCTGAGAGAGTTAGCAAGATGTTAGAAACTATTACAGGTTCTGATGGAGAGGTGGATGCAGAATGAATTTGCTTGGCAGTGGTCGTGTTTTTCATAGCAGAGGAGTTGGGGCTGAGCAGCCTTCGGAAGGATGTGGTAGGAGAAAGAAACCTAGGCATGCAGTGGAACTTTAGAACCCCTAATTTTTATTCCAAAACCAGCTCCTGGTCAGAGCATCCGTGTTCACTCCTCACTTGTGGCAGTTGGAGGCATCCTTCTGACCGCCTTGTTTGCTGAATGCTGCTAACCCTGCCCCCTCCCCGACACGCTGATTGGCAGCCTTCCCCCATTCTTTGCTAATATCATCCCTCTTTTTTGGGCCAGAGTGGGCACGATCTGACATTTTTTTGCTTTTACTTTTTTATTTTAATCTTACAGACATAAGCCTATTGCTATATGATTACTGGCTTCTATAATATCTTTTTTCTATTTGCCTGTTTCTTAAAAAAATTACAATTTTTTTCTGTAAACATTCTGGTTATTAGCACCTTATATTTTTATGTGTTCATATATTTTCTTCTCTACTGGTATAACTCTTGTTTTTTTTTTTTTTTTAATATTTTATTGATTTTTTTACAGAGAGGAAGGGAGAGGGATAGAGAACTAGAAACATCGATGAGAGAGAAACATTGATCAGCTGCCTCCTACACACCCCCTTCTGGGAATGTGCCCACAACCGATGTACATGCCCTTGACGGGAATCGAACCTGGGACCTTTCAGTCCGCAGACCAATGCTCTTCCACTGAGCCAAACCGGTTTTGGCTGGTATAGCTCTTTTAACTTGCAGTATCTTTTGTTCTATTAAATCATCATCTTTTGTAGTATCTTTTGTTCTATTAAATCATCATCTTTGCTTTGCTTCCTTCCTCTTCATGTCTGCTGTTAGATACTGAAATAGTGACCAGCCTGCCTTGGTTGAGATCTTGGGGCCCATTTACTAGGTCTATATCTCAGCTTTCTCATGTGCAAAAACAGGGCTATTGTTAATTAAATATGTGAAGTCTGAATTGTGTCTGGCTGGTATCTCCTGTCATGTATTTGCTATTATTATTCTAATTGGGGTCTTTGATCTACTCTCATTTCTGTGTCTCTTTTGAGTAGTTCATCTATTTTCCATTATAAAATGCCCCCTTAGAGAAATCCTGTTTGTTCTTCTTTCCTGCCTGCCATTAATCCATCTGCAAGTCCTATTCATTGTTGGTCTTGCTGCCTTGCTTCTTGCTCATGTTATACTCTGGTCCTAAGCAATTTTGAGGCCTAGGCCAATGTTTCTATTACAGACCCGTCTCCTGTGTGGCGTCATCAGCACTAGATCCTCATAAGCATCTCTGATTTAACATATTTGACACAAAGTGGATGCTCAATTAATATTTGTTGAATAAATGAATGTCCCACTATACCCTTACTCACCTCCCCCCATCTCCTCCATCTCAGTAAACTGCTCTATTAGGCATATGCTCAGGCCGAAAGCCTGGCAGTCATCCTTGCTCTGCCCTTTCCAATGGACACTACATCCAATCCATCCTTAAGTGTTATTAAATTTTTCCAATTCTTCCTAGTCATCAGCTCACCGGCAAGGCCCTGGGCTGTTTTGCCCACATGATATTCAGCTGCACCCCCTTCTGTGCTTTCCTCAGCACAGCAAGTCTCGGGGCCTTCTGTCTGCAACTCTCCTCCCCTACACACGGGTGCTCCCACATATCCTTTAGGTCTCAAGTTAAATGTTTCTTCTTCAGGAAACCTCCCCTAACCCCTCAATCTAAACTTAGTTCGCTGCTACACTCACTCCTAGCACCCAGGAGTCTAATCATACTTCAATTAGACATTGACCACCTTGTTCATAATACGATCTGTTAAAGTCCCCTTCGCTGTACCCTAAGCTCCTTGAGTAAGGCACCTACTTTGCCTTATTCACAATTGGCACTTAGTAGGCACTCAGTAAGTATTTGAATGAATGGCTGAGTGTTACTATTGTATTTACCTTCCATCTTTTTCTGTGTTTTTTTTTTTTTTTTTGCATATGTCACCTGGCCCTCACTGTCAGTGGGTCCCTGTGGCCCCAACTGTCCTAATACCTACCACCAACAATTCAGAGAGTCTTTGCCAGCCTGAAAATTAGGCCTACGATTGCTCGAAGTCTCCAGAGCACCAGTATCTTACCTGTTCAAGGCAGGGTCTGATTGTGTGTCTCTCCTGCCGAGGCCACCCTGGTTTCTGTCCTAGACCCTGACGAGAGGACTACTTCTGGAGGAGTCTGAGGAAGCTGGGAGCCCTCTAGAAGTGGTCAGCCCCTCTGACTCAGATGGCTGCAGCTGGAAGCTGGAATTAATGACAGACAAGGAATAGTCTAACCCTAAGTGGATTGGTTCAGTGGATAGAGCATTGGTCTGCAGACTGAAGGGTCTCAGGTTTGATTCCGGTCAAGGGCACATGCTCTGGCTGCAGTCTCAATCTCCAATAGGGGCGTGCAGCGGGCAGCCAATCAATGATTCTCTTCATTGATGTTTCTAATTCTTTCTCTTCCCTTCTTCTCTGAAATCGACTTTAAAAAAATATTAAAAAAAAAGAGAAATAGTCTAGCTTCCTTGTGCCTTCACTTGATATTACAGAAATATTTTCTTATGTCAGTATGACATCTTCATAAGCATCTTTAAAAATAGCTGGCTAATATTCCATTGTTCTTCAAATAGCTACCTATTATTTCCATGATTCATCAAGAATAAAAATATTAATAATTCAATAAAATCAAAGCCTTACTACTTACATTGTGTTTTTATAAAAATGCTAGGATTCCTTTGCCTATATTCTCACCTTTAATAAGCTAGTCTGGTTTTAAGAAATATATAGAGTTACGAATGCTTCAATCTTTCTGTTCCGGCAATTTCTTGAAAGACCATCCCCTGATTCTGTGTAATACACAAAATTAAATCTTTTTTTTTAAATCACTTAATCCCACCTGCCCTCCTATGCTTACCAGTTAGTAAAACTCCATTTACAATTTTCACCCATATTCATGCATTATTACTGTAACTATATTTTACTTCTGTCTCCTCTCAGAGAATGAAAGGTTAACTGCTTTTATTGCTCTCAAGGGCTTTGATTTTCAGAGAATAAATATTACATTGTGAAATGGAAGCAAGATCCAACAGAAATTCATTAAAAATGTATAAATACTTTAAGCACTTGAAGCTAATTCTTCATGTTTTAAAATACTAGTGCTTTCAGTGCTAGACATTTCATCATGTTCTATGACAATGCCAGTTTCTGGTTACTCCCATCTTTTCCTTACAATTACTCCTAGTCACTGGAAGGCAGAGAGGGTGGCCGTGTGGTTTAGTGAGGAGCGATAGCCATGTACAAGAAGGAGCTGGGGAAAGGGAAGGAGAGGCCTGGGAAGAAGCATGGCCGCCTTCACGCAAGCCTTTTCCACTTGGGATTTGCTTGGTAATGTCCTAGTATATATTCATAGGCATAAGATAATATCTTATACTCATAAGATAAGCTCCTTCAGGCCTTGTGCTCTACCCTGAGGCTTCCTCTTCACGGCTGAGCCACCATCCAAGGCTGCTGTGCCTAAGAACAGATGGCTGACCTGTAGTTTGTGCATACTTTTATCTTCACTAGGTAACCCCAAATTGTTTCTAAAAATGCACATTTTATTTCAAGCACGTGTGGAATGTGTAACAATACTGAACATATACTAGGACATTATCAAGCAAATCTCAACAAATATCAGAGTCATGATCATATACACTCTTCTCTGACTAGAATGCATTAGAATTAGAAGTCAATATAGCAAAATTAATTCCATACACTTGGAAATTTTACAACAGATTTTTAAAGAGAATTGATGACTCAAAGAACTCATCCATATTTAAAATGAAGTGAAAATGAAGTGAAAATGACACTCTCTCACCTGACCTGCTGTTTTCTGTCTCCCCACCTGCCCCCGCGTGGATGATTTCCAGGGAGATGAGTCAGAAAACGAGTAAGGAGGGTCCCAGGCTCTCCAAGAACCAGAAGTTTTCTGAGCAGTTCAGCATACGGTGCTGCCCGCCGTTCACCTTCCTCAACTCCAAACGTGAGATCGTGGACCGAAAGTACAGCATCTGCAAAAGTGGCTGCTTCTACCAGAAGCAGGAAGAGGACTGGATCTGCTGTGCCTGCCAGAGGACCAGGTAAGGGTCTCTCAGCTCCAAGCCACCCCCTGACCTCCGTACCCCTACCTTCCTCCTCTCCTCTGTGATGCTGGGGCTGGGGCTCTGCAGGCTGCTCTTCCCCAGGCCCCTGCCCGTCGGATCCCGGTTAGGTTCTGCCATTGGAAGGTGCCAGAGGGAGACTGGAAAGTGGGAGGGGGAGCAGGCCTGCCTCCCTATTTCCAGCTCCCGCCAGCATCCCTTAAGCAGCAGAGGAGAGCCATGGCTCCGGGCTCCAGCTTCTTTTGGCCCTCTCAGAACCAGGCGCCGAGCAACGTCCCCCCCGAGGCCCAAGCTCCAGCCAGCGGCACCCCCCGCGGTGGTCAGAGCACCAGCCAAGCCACGGTCCCCTCCGAGGTCTGAGCCACGGTCCCCTCCGAGGTCTGAGCGTCAGCCACGACCCCGTCCAGAGGTCCGACCACCACCAGCCAAGCAGCGCCCCCCTCAGAAGTCCAAGCAGCCGCCACGCAGCAGCCCCCGCAGCAGTCCCCACAGAGGGCCAGGCGCCGGCCGTGGGGGGTCCCCCATCAAAGCTTCTAGGTTCTGGTAACACCATCTCTTCCCCTGTGTTCCCCCAGCCCTCAGGTTAGTAGCTGCTTCCTGTGTTTACTACTCTCTGGATTATCTCGAGGGCCTCTCTCAGCCTTCCCAAGCCTATGCCCCCCCCCCCCCCTTTCCCTGCATTAAACCCCCTCTGTTTGAAATACCTAGTGTGGCTTCTGCTTTCCTTATTCATGCCACTGACACAGTACCTCCGATGGCAGTGTCCACGGTCTCCTTGGTCTAGTAGAACTGGAAGTGATTAATTTACCAGTTCAGAGTATTGACACAATAGCAGGTTGAGTAGATGAGGCTCTGCATTCCGGTGCCTCGGAGAAAGGAGGAATGGTCACTCTAAAGAATATCCGGGTATGTGTAAGCAGAGGTTCAGCCATTTTGTCTATCCGTCCTCCCAACACACTTCATCTAATGTTAATCCCATTCATATATATATATATATATATATATATATATATATATATATATGAATTTAATTTAGAGAGGAAGGGAGAGGGAAAGAGATATAGAAACATCAATGATGAGAGAGAATTACTGATCGGCTGCCTCCTGCACGTCCCCTACTGGGAATTGAGCCTGTATCCCGAGCATGTGCCCTTGACTGGAATCGAACCTGGTACCCTTCAGTCTGCAGGCTGATACTCTATTCATTGAGCCAAAACAGCTAGGGATAATCTCATTCATCCACTCAGTCAGTCAGTGAGTCAGTCGGTCATCTAACAAACTTGGTTCCATATGTATAGAGTGCCGGATACCATGCTGTAGGAAGGGGCATGGCAGTGAACAAGCCAGTTCTGTGCGTGTGTGTGTGTGTGTGTGTGTGTGTGTGTGTGATTCACTAGGACCATTTACGGTGTAGGGTATACAGTAAATGTCCTAACATTGTCACAGTCGGTATGAACATTGGGCCATAGGAGTCTGGAGCAGGGCCTGCTTCACCGAGGCTGCACAGAGGTGGTCAGCTGGATGAGTAGAGGGTAAAAGGCGGGGATCCATGTAGAGAGAAAAGGTGAGCCAGACGGGTACATTTCATACGCATCATCTTAGGCAGGTCAACTTTTTTTTTTTTTTTTTTTTTTTTTTAATACTCTATCTTTTAAAGCAATTTTAGGTTCACAATAAAATTGGGCAGAAGCTACAGAGATTTCCCATATACTTCCTGCCCACACACATGGCAGGCCAACTTTTAGTCCTTTTAATATTTGGAAATGAGCCTATTTTACAAGTTAATAGTGAGCTTTAATTGCCCTGGAGCAGTGGTCGGCAAACTCATTAGTCAACATAGCCAAATATCAACAGTACAACGATTGAAATTTCTTTGGAGAGCCAAATTTTTTAAACTTAAACTTCTTCTAATGCTACTTCTTCAAAATAGACTCGTCCAGGCCGTGGTATTTTGTGGAAGAGCCACACTCAAGGGGCCAAAGAGCATGTGGCTCAAGAGCCGCAGTTTGCAGACCATGGCCCTTGAACATCTTTGCACATCATAGGCAATCCCAATGCAGAGGCCTGGGTTAGGCAGCTGTGCGTTCCCCCAGTCTGACACCTCCTCCCTGGTCACATGTCCTTAACCTACAACCACAAGGTTAACCAGTCTCCCTCCTATAGCCTTAATCCTCTTGTCCCGTATCATGTTACCTTCATCTCACAAATCCCTGATCTTACATCAAACTGATGACTCACCTGCAGTTTCCCAACTGCTGAGCCATGGCTGCTGAGCATGGCCAGGAAAAGCCTCATAGCTCTGTGGGTTGGTGCCACCACAAATGAATGAGCTTGAGGCCCTCTCAAGGTTAGCCTGCCCCGCCAGCCCTCACACGTTTATCAGGATGTCTAAATGCTTCCCCTCAGTCTCAGGGGACAAAGCATGCTCTTCTGATCAGGTTAGCCATACCTGTGATCTTCCTTCCTCTTGTCTCCTCCAGGGCTTACGTGTGCATGTATGTGTAATACACACCACCCCTACACACACACACACACACACACACACACACACACACACACACACCCCGCATGTGTCAGGTTTATTAAGATGCACAACCTTTTCAGAAGATAGCTCTATGCACACAACCACCACCACATGAAGATAGAATATTTCATCACCCATAAAATTCTCTCATACTTCTCCTTTGCAATCCACCCCCAAGCTTTTGTAAAACCACTCACCTTTTTTCTGTCTATAGTTTTGTCTCATCCGGAATGTTGTATAAAAGGAATCGTGCAGCATGGAGCCTTTTGAGTCTGGCTTCTTTCACTTAGCATAATGCATTTGAGATTGAACCACATTGTTGCGTGAATAAATAGTTCTTTCATTTGGATTGCTGAATAGTAGTCCTTTGTATGGATGTACCTATCATAGTTTTGCATTCGCCAGTTGAAGGAGATTTAGGGTTTTTCCAGTTGGGGGTGATTATGAATAAAGCTGCTATAAACATTCATGTGAGCATAAGTTTTCTTTTCTCTCGAGTAAATAACTAGGACTGGTATGACTGGGACATATGGCAGTTGTATATTTCAGTGTATAAGAAAATGCTAAATTGTTTTCCAAAGTGGCTGTATCATTTTGTACTCTGACCAGCATTGGGCAATGCTCTGCATTCTTGTCGGTACTTGGTATGTCAGGGTTTAAAATTTTATCCATTCTAATAGGTGTGTAATTTTGCATTTTTCTAATGATGTTGAGAATCCTTTAATGAGCTTGTATATCATCCATCACTTATTAGTGAAGTGTGTGCTCAATCTTTTTCCCGTTTTAAAAAGTGGGTTTTTATTATTATTGTATTTTGAGAGATTATAAAATTTATCTAGATACAAATATATGTTTTGCAAATATTGCTTCCCAGCCTGTGGCTTGCTGTCTCATTTTCCTAACAGTGTCTTGTGTTGAACCAGTTTCAAATTTTACAAAGTCCAATTTATCATTTTTTATGGGTTATACTTTTTGTATTATATGTAAGAATACTTTGCCTAATCCAAGGTCACAAAGATTTTCTTCTAGAAGTTTAAATATGTAGGTTTTACATTTACATTATTATCCATTTTGAGTTAACTTTTTCTAAATGGTGTGAGGCATGAATTAAGGTTAATTTTTTTCCCCATATTCATTTTTTAATTGTTTCAGTCTCATTTGTTGGAAAGATTCTCCATTGAATCACTTTTGCAATTTTGTTGAAAAATTTTTGGCCATAACATGTGAATTTATTTCTGGACTTTCTATTTTGTTCTGTTAATGTATATATCTTTCCTTTCAACACCACCACACTTAATTACTGTAGCGTTAAACGAAGTATTAAAACCAATTAGTGTGAATTATCTAACATTGTTCTTCATTTTTGAAATTGTTTTTGGCTAGTCAAGTTTCTCTATTTTTCCGTATACATTTTAGTGTCATTGTGTCAGTTTCTACAATATATCTTGGTAGAATTTAGAATGACATTGTGTTGAGTTTACAAATCAATTTGGGGAGAAGTAGTAACACTGTTGAATCTATTAACATGGTATATCCCTCCATTTATTTAGGCTTTTTTTTGTTTTATAATATAATTTTCAATACACAGATCTTGCACATATTTTGTTTTATACCTAAGTAGTTTATAAAAGTGCTATTGAAATTGTTCATTGGTAGTATATAAAAACAATTGATTTTTGTATCCTGTGATCTTGCTGAACTTATTTATTCTACCCTTTTTGAGGGAATAGACTGGAATTTTCTGCATTGACAATCTTGTTGTCTATGAAGAGACAATTTTATTTTTTACTTTTTAATCTGTAAACCTAAGCTATTTCACTTAGAACATTTGTTTTTTAGAGAATTATTTTAACAAGATTAAGTCCTTGATAATTTGGCTTTTTGGATCACTGAAAGGGGTTAGAGTCCAAAGGCTTGAGCTCAACCAGCTAAGGTACTTGGGTTGGGTTGTAGGTTCATACCTGTATTTTCCTCATATTCTCATTTCAAGATATGGTTAATCTTTCATCGTGGTTCATTGATAGACATACTCTGTCATTAAACTAGTGAATGGGCATGAATGTGTTTTGGATTTAAAACACAAAGAGGCTCTAATCACTACTAGAATTTGGGGCCTATTTTGAGTTGGTCAATGGGGATGATGCGTAAACTATTTCATATAAGCCGAGAACCTCCCTCCTGTGTCTGCAGAGCCATCATGCCTGTCAGTGGTTAGGAGCGTTGGCACAACCTTCATATTTCTTGCTTAGGAGATGCCCACCCCCTCCCTAGGCTCAGCTGGTATCTCCACTGTTACACATCGGACACCATACAAGTCTGTCTCCCCTGCTGGAGTGTACATGAGTCAGGAGCCGGGACTCTGTCTTACACTCATATCTCCAGGGCCCCACTCGGGGGTTGGGTGATGTTATTGACTGAATGAGACCTATAAATACACCTAGTCTGGCACAGTAGGAAGGGCAAGGACACTGGCATCAGGTTTGCATCTGAGCTCTGTTGCCGGTTCAAGTTACTTATTCTCTCAAAACCACACTTTTTCCCCATCTGTAAAATAAGGATGTTATCTACCTCCTTATTTATCACAGTAAAGTACTTCGTGTAGGATCTTATAGCACTAGGTAGATAGATGTGATTAGAATTGTTACTTAATGGATACACTGTGCCATTTAAACCTAGCTATTAGTAGATTCTCCTCAACTCAGGTGCTCCCACTTGTTGAAATAACCTCAAAGGTAGTCTACAAATTCAGAGTCGCATGAACTGAGCCCTTACCAGGGTCATGGATTCTCCTGTCTCTCTTTGTAAACCAGATTGAGAAGGAGGAGCAAGCCAGCCCCAAGGAAGAAGTAACCAAGAAGGAGTTTCAAGTGAACGGATGGCCCCAGCTCCTGGACGTACTGCTGTCTGACCCACATGCCCCTGGGCAAGCTCGCCGGCTCCGAATACGATGCAGAGGCAGACACCGGCTGATGCCCAAGGTCTCCATGGCAGGAGGGCCACTGGGCGGCCTGCCTGGAGGTGAGAGGGGCATCTCTATGTTATGCTCCAGTTGGAGGGTCCCAGCAGCGCCCCACAGGCTCCAGAACTCAGGGTGTGGCTCCGTTGGTCTCACCTGCAGTCCTTTCTCCCAGGAATGTGCACAGGCCCTGGGGTCTTTGGATCAGGATGGTTTAAGTGCCAGCCCATGTATTGTCCTCTAACCCCTTTCCTTTCTGTCCCTGGCATCCTGTTGCAGATCCTTGGTCCTGTTTAGATCTGTGGCCTTCTTCTTTGTAGTGAGTTCCCTGTACTAGTCCACAGTCAGAAGCATAGAGTTGGCTCTAGGGAAGATCCACATTCTTCTCAGAGTAAAATAATAGGCTCTCAAATAATCTAGAGATGCCAAGATATCCCCAGGGAGGGTCAGAGTGGTCTATATCCACATGTGGCCAATGTACTGTGTCAGAAGCTAAGAGAAAAGGCATGAGAAAGCAGCCCCTGCCACTCCCCAGGCCTCTATCTCCGACCTCACAGAGGAATTTGTGAATGTCTCCTCCTGATCCCGGCCTGCGTGAGAGAAAAGACTCGAAGGCACTGCTTTTGAGCTTGTCAACCCATCTGGGTGGTCTCAACTCCAGAATCCATTGCTTTGCAAATTGTGTTGCTTTGAGCAGGTTATTGGCCTCCACCATGATGCCCTGCTCCCGTCCCCTCTTCTGGGGAGTCCTGGAAACTGGGCTGCTAAGATGGGCCCTCCATACGAAGCAGGAAATATTGCTTTCCCACCTCCTCATTTCCCTGGGTGGGCAGATGGCCCCTGGGCACTTTCATGGGACCAGAAAGTGTGCCCAGAGAGTTGCTATAGAAATAGTGCCCAGTTCCTGGAGAGGATTGAGACCTGGTCCCTCCATGCTCTCCCTAGCTGGACCCTTTCATATTTCTCTCTGATACTGCAGTGAGATCAGGAGAAGACAAAGAGGAGCTTGGCTTTGGGGAGATGAGATTTAAGTGGATGGGAGGGGTGGGTTAGGGGAGGTTAAGCAGCCCAAGCCTTCCCTTCCTGTGTAGGAGGCCATGCAAGGGTGTGTTAGGGAGGGGGTGGGTGGCGGGCACTGGTCCCAATCGTAATGGTGCAGGATTGTGTTTGAATGCCCATCGCTGCTCTCTGTTTTACTGCGACTACCAGTAGCCCTAGACTCTTGGGAAGGACTTTGGTGTCAGTATGGGCTCTCTATCACCACCAAAGGAAGTAGCCCTCCCCTGCCCCCATCTACCCTGGTCCACCACACCCCCTACACACATACATATGCTGTAGGGATGGAGTGTGTCCACAGGTTAATGGTTAAATAAAGGACTCTCAGGTCACCTTGTGGATTGGTGTGTGTGTGTGTGTGTGTGTGTGTGTGAGGTTAGGGAACTTGGCTTTGGGAGAACATCATCTTTGGGCACTCATTTTTTTCTCTCATGCACAAATACAAGTTCACATTGGATCAATGGCCCCTGAGGACTCTGACCTCTTAAGCTGAGCATCTGAAAACACAAACTCTAATACACTCTCTTCTGAGCCTGTCTTTGACTTAGGGCTCCACTGCATGCCAAGCAGTAGCCTTATAGGAGCCCCTCCTGGCCACTTTCCTAACATCAGAGTTGGAAGGTGGAAGGAGAGGGTTGGAGTGGATCAGTCTCTCTTTTGGCTCCAGCAGGCTCCATTCCAGAAGCCACCCCAGCTTATTTTAAGCCTAAGCTTGGCTGATGTATAGGTTGGGGTTGAAGGGTGAAAGATGCAAGCAGTAGATACTTCCCCCATTCTCCCTACCTCCTCACACTTTTCTTCTTAGCCCGTAAGGGTAAAAGGCTTATGGTTCATCCAGGCTTGGTTCACCCTGCTTGGGACTCAGATGCCCTTTCACGTTCTTGCCTTCTTTCTGTTCTCTCCTTTTGTACTTGTAGATAAGATGTTGTTATATCTCCCCAGTGCTTGTGCCCATCTTGGGGCTCTGTTGTTCATTCTGCCTGTGATGCTCTGGCCTAAGATCTTTGCACTGGTGCCTTCTGCTCAGAGTGGTTTCCATGGTTACTTTCTAGCCCATCACTCTGGTTTGTTTGTCTTTACAAGGCTTATCACCCAGTGGAATTACCTTGTTCATTTTTTTCACTTGTTTATTGCTTGGCTCCCTTTCCTTCCTAATGTAGACTCCAGGACTGCCAGGACCCATTTACTGCTACATCCTCAGTTCCTAGCACTAGTAAAAGCAATAAATACTTGTTGATTGAATGGATATTTGTTTGTTTGATTTTTTTATAGGAACAATTTTTTAAACATTTAGAGACGATTGAGGAATCAAAGATGTCTGTTGTATTTAGTAAGAAGGAATTTTTGGTGACTTTGTAGGGCACCCTCTATATGGAACAAATGGAAGGTGAGGAAAAGGAATTCATGCAGATTGATGTAACTCCTTCAACTAAGCTTGACCATAAAGGGAAGCAGAGGATAGGGCAAGAGCAGGAATTTTCCATGAACTTAGGAGACACTTGAGCATGGGGAATGCCATTGGGAAGAAGGCAGCAGAGAGGGTGCATGAAGAAAGAGGAGGAGATTAATTGATAAAGTAAAGAACTGAGGATGTGGGAGGTGGAATCCAGGGAACAGATGAGGGGATTAGGCATGGAATCAGAGGCACCTTCAAAAAAGAAACACACAAAAAAAACCAAAACGTATTTTATTAATTTTTTACAGAGAGGAAGAGAGTTAGAAACATCGATGAGAGAGAAACATCAATCAACTGCCTCCTACCACACCTTAGTGGGGCTGTACCCACAACCAAAGTACATGCCCTTGAGTGGAATCGAACCTGGGACCCTTCAGGGTGCAGGCCGACACTCTATCCACTGAGCCAAACCGGTTAGGGCCAGAGGCACCTTTTTATTAGGAAAAAAATTGAAGAAGAAAAGGAGAGTAGAGTCTGATGGGTATGCAGGGTCAGTGGCAGGAGCTTGGGTCATTTCCCACCTTTGGCGTTGATTTTCTCTTGAAGTCCACAATGGGGGTGCTGCTATTGGAGTCAGCGATAAGAATGGTGGAGAAGAAACCACTTTATCTCAGGTTGTTGAAATCTTTAAAAAACCTTCCCCTGGTGAATTTAATTATTGAGTTAATTAATTTACAATTCAAGGCAATATTTTGCCACTAAGTCCTTGCCTACAACTTCATATTTAGATGTAAATCCCCGATCTAACTTGAGACCCGTATGGTCTCAGAAGAGTTGGAGCAAGAGAGAGCCTAATCTTCTTAAGGAATAAAGAATGACGAAGAAGCCTTCACTCTTGAAAGCTATAGAATTTCTGACAGCTCACAGCCAGATGGAGCTGTTGTGGGAGAAAGTAGTTTGCTGAATGTCATCTGGGCTGCTGTTCTAACATCAGAGGAATGTAGAAACTCACTCTGGAAGGGTCCTAGGAGGGCTTCTTGCTTGACTCCATAGCACATGTGTCAGGTCCATTAAAAACTCCATTAAAGCTGAAACCGGTTTGGCTCAGTGGATAGAGCATCGACCTTCAGACTGAAAGGTCCCGGGTTCGATTCCAGTCAAGGGCATGTACCTTGGTTGTGGGCATATCCCCAGTAGGGGGTGTGCAAGAGGCAGCTGATCGATGATTCTCTCTCATTGATGTTTCTAACTTTCTATCCCTCTCTCTTCCTCTATAAAAAAATCAATAAAATATATTTTAAAAAACCCCCTCCATTAAAGAGTACTTATTACCTCTGTTGAAATATAATGAAGTGATCTTTTGTTTAAAGATATTTTTCATTTATTTCAGAGAGGAAGGGAGAGGGAGAGAGAGATAGAAACATCAGTGATAAGAAAGAATCATCGAACATGCCTCCTACATGCCCCACACTGGTGACTGAGCCTGCAACCCGGGCATGTGCCCTTGCCTGGAATCAAACTCAGGACCCTTCAGTCCGCAGGCTGACTGACACTTTATCCACTGAGCCAAACCAGCGAGGGCTAATGAAATGTTCTTAATGGACAAAGATGATTCTGTCAACTGGACAGTGGGGTGTACATTTGTGATTTGGAGAGATTTTTCACAGTTGTTCTTCTTTTCTTTCTTTTTTTTTTTTTTTTTTTTTTAAATATATGAAATGTGACCTTGAACTTGCTGCCATAATCTGTGACCCAGAAGTTTCCAATCTGAGCTGGTGGAGCCCTGGAATACTTGGAGATGCCACCTTATGAGATGAGAGGGAGGTGAAGTCAGCAGGCTCCTGGCCACAACTCCATATCATCTAAGGCAGATTTTAGGGTCTATGTTGATTTCTAATTTTATATGGTTAAATGGTTCCACTGGAGTAAAAGAATCTGACAGTCTCCACTTTAATGACTGAAAGCAAATATTGATAGAATAGTTATGTTAGTGATTTTTAAAAGTGATTTATTGAACCGAAGAGTATACTATTTGGAATTACATGATAGGATTGGGTTACTTATTTCCGCTTAGGAAACAATTCACCAACACAAAGTTGATTTTTTGACTTTTGGTTAACTGACTGGATTTATCCAACATGTGGCTGAGCAAAAGTGCATAGGTTAACAAACATTCCTGATACTTATATTTATTCTTTAAAAATTATGTAAAAGTATTACACTCAACATGGCACTCAACATTTCTGTTGCATGTGCTACATTTACTATATAAACTACATTAATAATGCATAAAATGGGTTTGAGGAGAGTGGAGAAAATGAGAGACTAGAGTTTAAGTGGTAGCCAGCCTTCATAGCAAATAAAATACCTAGCAGATTTGAATAATGTGGCTCATAAAAGATCTCTTAATAATAAAACTAAACTCTAAAGTTTAATTTCCAA